TTACGTTGGAAATAAATTTTAGGGGTTGCGTTTTCCACCCCTTACAACCATGGGGTAAACCAAATAAATTACTGGCCAAGTGTCTTTTTGGTAGTAGAAAATGTCAGGTTAATTTCAATATTGTAACTTGTTTAGTGCTTGTGAAAAAAATTGTTAAACAAATTTTATGTATACCCCCTTTAAGGGGCTGTATCTTAACAAGGAATGCTCCAATGAAGTTTCTTTATATGAAAGATCCTAGCTTTTTTTCGATGAGGAATCACCCCCTTAAATGTTTTACACTTATTTAGTTACACCCTGTATAACCATTTTTGCTTATTTTCATCTAAAAAATATCCTTTTCAAATTTGTAAAAAAGCTAGTGACTAATTTATCAACCCTTGTCTTTGTGGAACATTTCCAGTGTTCATTAAAGAGTGCAATAATTTTAAAACTACATAGTGCTCCATCTCGAGCACCGCACGTAGACTGAGAGGGTAAACACTCACCGTGATCCTCAGCTTAAACGTCCACTTCTGCTTTATAGTCAGGAAGAGCCATATAACGATCCAGAAGAAGAGGTGGAGGATGCCCCCGATGATGCAGATCAGGGTGATGTCGTCCAGGCTACCCTTGTACACGACGGTGTAATCGTGGATGAGGGGCGCGTTGCATATCCCTATGGACAGCAGCACACAGAGGGCGGCACAGTGTGTGAAATAGCTCCATAAGTTGCCGTTGCCTTCCTCTTTGAGGGTTATCACTTTGCGCTCGCGTTCTTGGTTCAGGAAGGCATTAAACCTGAAAGCATAATGCGTGAGTATTTAGCTTGGATGGCCGTTGTTCGACGCACACCTGATGCCCGTTTCGGTAGCGAGGAGTTTGGTTTTGTTGCGTGGAGGACCACTTTGCGGTTCGTTTTGGTGAACAAAGTGTGTGCGTCAAATATTGATCTACGTTCGATGTGGTGGCCGTTATTTTGGAAATACGCCTCACTCGTCAGTAAATTAATAAAGGAATCGTTTTGCACAAAAATATGTAGTGTAAATTGTACATTACGTTTAAAAACACATTACAGCTTTTAATTTAATAGTTTTTTTTGCAGTTTTCCGTCCATTTCCCGAATTTTTATTCCGCTATCGCAGAACATTTTTTTACTTTATTTACTAGTAAAAAACTAGCCGTATGCAAAATATAATGCCCTTAGGAATTAATGCCATTTTTAAATACTATTGTGCTTGAGTTAAGTCTTTTAATTGATGTATTGTTATAAATATACAGCTGTTACATTAACCCAATAGGCCTAAAAATGATTTTATTTGCGTGCCTGGGGAATTAAGATTTTTTTTGCATTAATTTTGTCAAGATTTGGATTGATTCTGCCAAGAGTGACAAAGTGTCTCAAGGATTCCAAATTTTTCCAAATAAATTCTAATTTATCTAACTGAATTTTTAAATTAGCGTTCCTTAGGGTTTGAAAAATCCTTAGATTTGTGTTCTAGTAGATGTCGAACAAACAATAATATCTAAATAAACTAAACAAATTTTATTGATATGTTCAAGAGAACGCAATTAAAGTGAACAATGCTTGGTACGTTTTTTAATCCGAATGGCATTCTTATGAATTCATAATGTGCGTGTTCTGTATAAAAGCAGTTTTTGAAACTTGAAATGAATAAAATCATTATCTCTTTTTTAAAATGAAAGTACAACTCTTAAGAAAAAAAATGAGCCCTGATTCGTTTCTCTGCGACTATTCGTCGACCAAGAAGAGCCGATTTTCGAAAATTTTTTAATATTTTTTAATTGAAAAAAATACACTTTTTTGCTTGCTACATTTACAGCAAGTAACAAGTTTCTAAACCTTAATTTACAAGAAATTCAGCAATAACAAACAAAAGTCGATTTTTTACGGTTTTTTCGATATATTTATCCCGAAAAGTAATATAGCAATCAATATATTTAAAAATATGAGTCGATAGGTTTTTTAACTTTTTTCGATTGGAATTCAAGTTTTTTTTTACTAGCGAAAAACCGTTTATCTTGACGTTTATGAATTTCGCCGTTTATGAGCGACAGGAAAAAAACACTATCTTTCTTAGAATTTTTTTCCTATATCACCATATTTTTTGTTTCCAAGTGGTATTTTTTGTAAGGTCTTCTACCTAGATTGGACTAATTCCTAACTAACATCACTGACATTCTCGACAAATAAGGAAGAAGTATCTGTTTTACCACTTTAGACCTAACTTCCGGCAATCAGTTTCAAAACTGCTTTTATACAGAACACGGACATTTTGAATTCATAAGAATGCCGTTCGGATTAAAAAACGTACCAAATACTTTTCACTTTGATTGCATTCTTCGTGAAATTAATAAAATTTGTTTATTTAGATATTATTGTTTGTTCGACATCTACTAGAACACAAATCTTTGAGCATTTTTGAAAGTTGATTCTGAATTTCTTTAACTTCTTCGAAGATACGAGAATAGTGGTCGGGCGTTTCACGTCAACGGGCACAGTGGGCTGCCCAGAACAAAAATGCATCAATATTGACGTTCAACGTGTTAAAAGCTTCATATTTAAAAACTCTATCGAATGCCGTCTGGTGATTTTAAAAAAACATCATAGCGGTTTCAATATGGCGTCCGCAATTGTGGAAAATTCTGTTTAATGAGCAATATTGATAGATAAGAATCATAAAAATACTGTATTGTAGACTGAATCACCATATCTATACGTTTTTGGGGTTGCTGATTTCGAATTCAATATTCGTTAAACCCCATCTGGTCACTGTTTGTCCCTTACCTTAAAAATACTTCAAATCGTTGAAATAATGCGTTTCTACGATGAGTAACACACTCTAACCACCACAATTTATGTTTTCGAGATTGCTGAAACCAATTCTGATATCAATATAACTTCAACTAGTCAGAGTTCGTGCCTAACCACAAAAAAGTAGCGCAAATTGCTTAGATTACACTTTTCTACGCTTAGGAATGAATTGTAACCAACATATCTTTATATTTTTGGGGTCACTGAATCGAATTCCTACATCCGTTTGAACCCAACTAAGCCTTAATCGGTTAGGCAAATACTATTTCGAAATTTGTGTCAGTATGTGGATTCAGTCAACTAACTCAGAAATTAAAATGGTTTGATCAAAACCCTAATCAGTGTCAGCGCACCAGAGACTTTTTGAAAAATAGTAGCGTTTGAGTGATGCTATCCAATATTTCGTGTTTTTTATGTGTATCTTCAGGCGCTATATTGGAACTACCACGAGAGGGTTAGATAAGTGATACGGCTTGGAGGTAACTTTTGTAAATAACAGATCAATCGGATATAATAATCGACTTTAATTTCTTTACCTGTAATAGATTATAAGCGATTTTGGTGATATTGTGATCAGACTTTATAACTCAAGCAGAAAAAGTGTCATTTTAGTGATTTGGAATATTTTTTGAGGTTAGGTTAGTGACTAGTTGGGTTCAAACGGATGTAGGAATTCGATTCAGTGACCCCAAAAATATAAAGATATGTTAGTTATAGTTACACTTCATTCCTAAACGTAGAAAAGTGCGATATTAGCAATTTGCGCTACTTTTTTGAGGTTAGGCACGAATTCTGAGTGGTTGAAGTTATATTGATATCAAAATTGGGTTCAGCGATCCCGAAAACACAATTTGTGGTGGTTAGAGAGTGTTACTCATCGTAGAATCGTATTATTTCAACGATTTGAAGTATTTTTAAGGTTGGGGACGAACAGTAACCAGATGGGGTTTAACGAATATTGAATTCGAAATCAGCAACCCCAAAAACGTATGGATATGGTGATTCAGTCCACAATACAATATTTTTATGTTTCTTATCTATCAATATTGCTCATTAAAAATAATTTTCCATGATTGCGGACGCCGTATTGGAACCGCTATGCTGTTTTTTAAAATCACCAGACGGCATTCGATAGAGTTTTTAAATACGAAGCTTTTAACACGTCGAACGTCAATATTGATGCATTTTTATTCTGGGCAGCCCACTGTGCCCGTTGACGTGAAACGCCTGATCACTATCCTTGTATCTTCGAAGAAGTTAAAGAGATTCAGAATCAACTCTCAAAAATACTCAAAGATTTGTGTTTTAGTATCTACTTTATCTACCTTTGCGGTTGACTTGAGTTGTATAAAGCAGACTCTAGTACTTGCTATGGAAAAAACATACAGAAGCTAAAATTTATACACATTTTATAATTTACTTGCTATTGTAAAGCCAATTCCGACTTTACTACATTCACTAATTAATACATCACAAAGGAAGAATGTAACGATTAGATTCCTTGAAGCTCGATGTTTACCGACGCGGCACAAACCCTGTTCAACAGCGACGGGTGGAATCAATGAAAGAACCATTAGAGAATCTCCGCACCGCTCGCGAATCCTCGGTGCAAAGTTTAGTGCCCCTAAAGAGCGATGGGAACAGCGACTGCTGAATGCAAGCCGGCCTTAAATCTAGAAAAATTAGATACAAGTTGAGGAGATCCGTTCAAGGATGTTTCTGCATCGCTTTTAATATGAATTCGTTCCCACAGTTTCGCAATCACGGTTGAAAGGTTAACAGTAAATGTCAGTCAACGATGTAAAATGCACGAACAAGTGTATCGGAAAATGCCGGCTAGACGAAAGAGTTTGTTTTTTTCCAAAAATACCAGGAATATTCTAGACATGCTGCAAAAATTATTGACCAGTTCGTTGAAAGAAGAAAAAAAGTTTTTAAAACGTAGGTGACAGAAAAAAACCTTTTTCCAGAAAAATTAGAAAAAATGAACTATAGTTGATAAAAATTATTTCGATCAGACCATTTCTGTTGTTAGAATAAGCTGATACAGGATTCTGAATACTTTACAATGACCTGTTGCTCTGGAATCAGAAGCATCAGACGTGAAATCTGAAAGTCGAAATGTTAAATCTTAGTCCAATTAACTAAGCCTTTAAATCAAAATTTTATCAACTTGGCTGAATTTTTGATATGAGTTAGTTTAAGGTATATTATAGCAATAAGTGAGAGTAATTTTTTGTTCAACCCCCGGCCAAGGGTGGAAAAAGATAAAACAAAGGGCTTTTTCAAGATAACTCAAAAAGGGTAAGAGCTAGAAAAAGTTGTAAAGAAGGCAATTCTACATAAAAATGGTCTCTTAGCTTTTTCTTGTACTATTAAAATTAACAGAGTTAGGGAGGCTAGAAGTTAAGGGAAGATTTCAGAAATTTAATTTTGTTAAATCATTAAAATTAACGATTAAAAATTTGATTTTTTGTTATAACTTTCTTATTAAAAATTAAAAAATATATCTATTTCTCTGAAAAGAAAAGTTACATATTTTAGAGCAGATTGAAAAAAAAATTTACAAAATTCAATCATTTTTCTGTTTGTTATGATTTTTTTTAAATTTCTGAAATCTTCCCTTAACTTCTAGCCTCCCTAACTCTGTTAATTGTAATAGTACAAGAAAAGGTTAAGGGGCCATTTTTATGTAGAATTGTCTGCTTTACAACTTTCTTGAAAAACTTTTTTTTCTAGCTCTTACCCTTTTTGAGTTATCTTGAAAAAGCCCTTTGTTTTATCTTTTTCCACCCTTGGCCGGGGGTGGAACTAACTCATATCAAAAATTCAGCCAAGTTGGCAAAATTTCGATTTAAAGGCTTAGTTAATTGGACTAATCTCTACTTTACTCTACACCTTTATCATAAATTTTCCAGAAACAGTCAAAAACAAGCTGCGGGATGAAATCCTAAAGGAAAACGATGGGCATTCAATCGTGATGCTAAGGCAGCACTTTGGTGACATTCCCCGCAAATTAACATCATCATTTAAAAAAATATACCGATCTTACTTGTTTCTTTAAATATGGAGAAAGTAACAAAAATGAAATTACGTACTCTCTTTTTTAATAAAAAGTAATTTCCTGATCTTTCTCTTCATTTGCTTGGAGTGGAAGTAATCATCCCTACAATTAATTACTTTCATAATATTTCTTCTATCGCCAATATGGTTATTTATTTGAAACAAATTTAATTTATTTAATTATTTCCGTAAATGTAATAGTTTTTGAGCAAAATAAAAATAAATTCGTTCCAAAATCAATGATATGGGTATTAAAATGAATATTTTGTTGTAAATGGTCGACAGATAATGGACATCTCCATAAAAAAAACTCGAGTGTGAAGATATAAACTTCGGAACTCATTTTGATGCTATTAATTAATTTTCAAAATGATGCATGGCATCAAATAAAGCATCCAGGTACTTGAAAAGTTTTTCACATAGAAAAGACCGCTCGACCTTTAAAATGTTTTTTGAAAAACGGAAATCGGTTGATTAGGACGGCCATAGTAAATATTTAAAGTTAGATTACATTTATCAATTTCCAATTTAGTTTTTTTCAAAAATTATAATTTTAAAGTACTTGGAAAGACGCTTCTTTTAAAAAAAAGTTAAATTCCGTTTATTGGTTCTCGAGATATAAGCGGTCAAAGTTTATCGGCATTTACCGTTAATTTATAAACAATTTAGCAATAATCTTTCATCCAGTGGCTTCGTTTTTCCAAGTTCTAAGCTGGAGAAAAATTTCATATCCATAAGTTATCGGCAACATAGATAAATCAGCGGAAAAAACCTGTCGCTCGCACGCGCGAAAAGTGACTCAAAACACTAAAAGAGGGGGAGGGCAATTTCGTTCTGAGACTGAATTTGGAGGTTCAAAATGCAAAGGTACGAAAAAAATTGCATTATCTCGGCTTCTAATGGACCAATTTCGATCCTTTTTTTAATTCGATGTCTCGCGAGCCAAGGAATTCGAATATCGCAAACCCAAATGTCTAATTTGCACATATTTTGTTATAAACAAAGTTTATTATTTATGCATTAAATATACTGTATATTTTAACCTATGCTATAGCATTTTTTCAATGAAAAAATTTGTTTACGTATATATTGAAATGAACACACTGTATCTCAAGAAACGACACCGAGTAATAGCAGAGAAAATTTCATGAAATTATAATGTAGACTCTAAGAAAGACAAATTACTTTTAAAGAAAAATAAAAATCTCCTTTCATAGTTATTTCATATAAAAACTAAAACATTATCAGTCAAAATTTTACTTATTCCTTGTTAACGAGAAGCATGTCAAGAAAATAAAGTTTAGGTTCGAAGTGGAAGCATGAAAGTAAAATAAAAATGCCACAAGAAGGGCCAATTTAACAATTTTACGAATAACTAAACGTTAAATAATCTAGTACAAAAGAAAATTCAAATATTATAGTATCAGAAAACACATAGGCTAGAAGTTTATTATAAAAATTTGTCATGCAGAGTCATATAAAAATTTATTGTAAATTAGTTTAAGATGTATAAAATTTACTACGCAGATATAAAATATAAATTACGCCGTAGGTTAATTAAAATAAAATTCATCGCAATATGTGGGAGAAATTGCGCAATTAGAAACTAATATTATGGATACGAGTGACCAATAAAAAAGGGACAAATCAGAAAATTTACCTTGTACCGGAAAACAACAGAGGATCGTTGGGAAGTAAACAAATGGAAAAGAGAGGTTGGTCCGAGGTGCATGTTGTGCTGTGGCTCCCGAAAATAACATCAAAAACACCAGGAAGCAATCTACTCAGACCCAACAGCCATCTTCAATGAACGAGTACAGCTGACAAACCACAACTAATGTGAGGTTAGAGTGACGATCGAAAATTCAGAAGCAGACAGAAATAAACGTAAGTCCAGTTGCATAAGCATAAGCGTATTCTCCAAAAACATAAAGTAAAGTGTTGCGAATTTGAACTAAAAACAGTTTGTGAAATAGAAAACTTCAGTTCAAACCATAAACAATTTCAGTGGGTAAAATTAAAAATGACAGTTTTGAACATTTCCTAGTTTAAGAATTAGTTTAGTTTCGATGTTCGTAATATAAGTTAATTTGTTTCATAAAACTTTTAAAACATTAATAATTGGTTAACCAAATACTTTTCATATCATGTTAGATAGAGTTAAGGAATTTCTCCGATATTTAGTCATGTAAAAGTCTATAAAAAAAAATCTAGTTTCTGTGTTTATCACCATATTGTTCGGAATTTAAAAATTAATACTTAATAAATGTCATATTGTGAAAATAGTTGAAATTTTGCTTTTATTCAATGCTTCTTACAAAAAAATGAATAGTAAAGGTAAATTTAAAACAACATAGAACCGCTTCTCTGAGGTAAGATCTCATGCTGTTAAATGAACAAGTGTTTTTGAGGGATAGTGTAGAAATTATCAATAAACATTCCTATCTACACTGTTAAAAATGAACCTACACTGTTAACATTATTCATGCAAGGTAAAGCTGCCGGAGGAGAGTTTAGCAAAACGAAGGTAAGGAAGTACAATTCGTCTATATTTGTCATTGTAATTATTAAATTTTATTAAGAGAACCTACATTCAAAGAAAATTTTGATTTAAACACGCACAAATAACATTCTACACAACAAAAGGCGCCCAAATGAATATTCAAAATTGCACAAATAATATTTAATCATAACACACAAACAAAACACAAACAAAATCAAAAATAAAATATTAAAATAAATATTATTATTATTTTTCTTATTATTATTATATGTACTTCAATACTCTGAATATGAATGTATTTAGTGATAATTATTACAATTATTAAAATAATTTTTCACGAAACAAATTAAAAATAATTTTTTATTTGAAAATTAATTTTTTTGTTAAATACAGATAAAATTAAGAAAAAATAGTACTTTAAAATTATAATTTTTGAAAAAAAATAAATTGCAAATTGATAAATGTAATCTAATTGATTAAAAATAAAAAAAGGGGGTTAACTTTAAAAATTTACTGTGGCTGTCCTAATCAACCGATTTTTTCTATGTAAAAAAATGTTCAAATATTTAGAAACTTTATTTGAGGCTGTGCAACATTTTGAACATTCGAAAAAATTTTTTCAAAAAATTATTTTGCGAAAACCATCGAACCGATTTTAATGAAGTTTGGTGTGTTGTTTTATTTAAAGTTATTTTAACCAAAATTAGGATGCCCTCGGAGCAATTAAAATATTTTTAAAAAATTATCTAAAAAACTTGATTATTTTGCCTTTTTTTTCATCAATTATTGCTATTTTGCAACATCGGTAATAAATTTAAACATTTTTAACTTACAGTATACTGTGCAAATTCTAAAACTTTTTCCTCTTAAATATTCTTCCAAAATGCATAGGTTCCAACATATACGTAAAAAAACTTAGATAAAATAGGTATTTTTTTAAATTTTTTAAACATTTTTGAAAATGTTCCGGGCCTCGCCCAGATCTAAGGATCTACACTTTTATTATGTGAGTTGTACTGAAGATATTCCAGCAAAAATTTGCTCACATCCACCTCAAAACAGATCCGCCCTGATCTATACATCAACATAATTATTCCTCATCACATAAGAGTATACAGGGTAGGAAAGTACCGATGGACAAATAAGATCCACTTCTTATTTGTGGAAGGGCGAAATGGGCGTTGACTATTAGACGCCTTCATTATAGCCATCCTTGTCTATCACATGGATTTCTATGGCTTACTTTATCCCTCTCACGTAACTTCTGATAGACCATCGGTACTTTTTAGGTTCCTTTTCCATAAGAGCCACGCACTTAATTCTCAACGAGAAATCACCCCCTTAATCCCTTGGCGTTTATTTATTTACACCCTGTAAGAAAACAACCAACGCCAGACGCTCTCTATCACTTCCATCTTTCCCACCGACCTATCTCTTAAATAATACACAATGTCCCGACTCACCTCGTGTGACCGTAGAAGTAAAGCACGATGCTAGAGGCCAGAACCAATAGCGTTGATAAAATATACATGGCAAACGTCACTTGCGAGTTGAGCAAAAATGGCGTGGGGTTGCCGAAGTTGTACACCCTCGAGTTGTGTTTCAGGAGGGGAAGAGCCTTCCATACCCCGACGACGTGCACCTGCAAACAATTGAATGTTTAATGGAGATGTTCGCATCACGACATGATAAATAATGCATACAGGCGAATGCCGATAATATAGAAAGGTTGGTAAAAACTGGTAAATGTAGAACATGTTTTAAAGGGTACTAATATTGTAAGAAAACCCACATCATTGCTATTCCCAAAACTTACGAATTTTCCAGACTTACCTTGTACAAAATTGACATGCCTGCGAAGGAAAGCAGCGTGTGCAGCCCATTTATCAGGAGTTGGAATGAAAAAATCAACCCTAGACACTTGTTTGTCGACCAAAAAAGCGCTGGGTACCTCACGGAGTATATGACGAGAGCCAGAGCGAGGTTCATGTACTCTATGCTAACGGGGCTGCCCCATCCTGTTTCTGGAACAAAAAGCGGACATTTACAAGGCGTATTTATAAACGAAAAGTTAGAATTCGACTATCCCGGTGCTGAATTAAATCGTGACGGTTCTCCCTTAATTATCCCGAACTTTTTAATTAACATTATTTAGATGAAGAATAAATAAAAAGCGCGGCATCACCACCGTGAGCTGTTCAGCTCTGTCTGGATTAAGTTGGTGCTTTGTTCCGGAGGATTTTTTGCTTTTTAAAGTCCTTTATGTGCTTGGAAGGTGGATTACTGTACTGGATATTCCGCCGGTAATTAAAAAATCATTGTTAATGAATGCATGTTCAAATAATACGTAGGTACCTACATAGATATTATAAAACTGTTGCGGAAGCTAAGCTAATAGTCCAATTAAATGGGTCTTTAAATCGCAATTTTGGTCAACTTGCCTGAAATTTTTATGTAAGTTAGTTTGAGGTATACAGGGTGTTTCAGGATTAAGTCGACAAACTATAAGGAGATATTCCTCATAAAAATATAAGAAAAAAAATCAAGTATAATTTTTTTTCCAGAGACGCTTCATTTTCGAAATATAGGGCGTTAAAGATTTAAAAAAAATCGAATTTTTTAAATAAATTCTAAATGAAGAAGGCTATTTAAGCCTGTTTTTAGATAGAACAGTTTGTTATTGACAAAAAGTGTACATTCACTTTTTTTCCTATCTCTTATAGTTTGATGGCAAAATTGAAAGACAGTGAATAGTCCAAGCGTGTCGAGAATTAATTCCAATTCAGTGTCGATCGACCACTACCTCCATAATTAGAAGATGTCGTGCTTGTCTACAGTCCGGAGGCGCCCATTTTGAACAAAATATTTTTTAAATCATTTCATTTTTATTCACTTTTCGCTTTGTCTAGGTATAATATTAATTGGTAATTTTTTGATTGTTTCAATTTACAAATAAATTTTCATGTATTGTTTGCCATCTTATTTTATTTAAAAGTACACAACACAAGTAAATGAAGTGACTACAAACAGCCTGAAAAAAATTAGGAGTATTGCAAGGGTCGTTACGTTGTCGCATTACGTCATAATCACATTAGATGTTAGGTACTTAAATATTTCTATTGTTTTCATCAACATCTTTTTTTTTTCTAAAAAAAACACCCTATATCTCAAAAACGAAGCATCTACAAAATAATTTTAATACTATGGGTTAAACCCAAGGGAAGGGGAGACAAAAAGGCTTATTTGAGTCACACATACTCGAGACTAAGACCAATTTTAATAGGTACTATATTTTTTTAGGTTTTATAAGGAACGTCTTCCTAAAGTTTATCGATAGAATCGAGAAGCACCCTTCTGAAAAATCAATTTTACCATGAAACTATAAGAGTTAGGAAAAAAGTGAATGTACAGTTTTTGTCAATAACAAACTGTTGTTTCTATCTAAAAACAGCATCATTTTTTATTTTCAGTAGGGCAGTATTAATTTTTTTTATAATTTAATGAGTCTGAGTACCCATAACTCCGCCACTGGTTACATTTTTTAAAGTAGATTGAAAATAAAATTATAAAATTCATCAATTTTTCTACTTATGATTTTTTTTTTTTAATTTCTCAAATAATTCCTTAACTTCTAGCCACCCTAACTCTGTTAATTTTAATAGTACAAGAAAAAGTCAATAGACCATTTTTATGTAGAATTTTATGCTCTATAACTTTTATACTATTTTTTTTTCTAGCTCTTACCCATTTCGAGTTATCTTGAAAAACCCCTTTATTTTATCTTTTTTCACTCGTTGAAAAAAAATTACTGTCACTTATTGTTATTATATACCTCAAACTAACTTGTATCAAAAATTCAAGCGAGTTGACAAAATTGTGATTTAAAGGACCATTTTATTGGACTACAATACTTTAAAGGCAATTTGTTAGTTTGACATAAGTCAACCCTGTAAATTGTATACTACAAAATCCTAACTTTTTGATAAAGGTAGGTTAGACTAAATTAAGAAAAATAATTTATTTACAAATTAAGCAAGAATGTTAATTTTAATCAAACTAGAATACAGCCAAATATTTTGTTATTACCTACTGTCAGTAAATGATAATTTAAGTACAAAATTGAAATCGATGTTTTCTTCTTACGAGGTACAGCGAAGTACAATACACTAGAATTTAAAAAATATTAGTGCTTTTTCAAAATCTCTGCCAACAAAAAAATACAGGGTGATTCACAAATGGTAACCAAAAACCCTCGTATTCTTTGGTGAATTTTAAGGGCAGTATTTCCTATAAAGTTTTTATCTAGGACGCTTCGTTAAAAAGATACAGGGTGTTAAACTTCAAAAAATATCAAAATATGGATCACCCTGTATCACAACGAAAAAACAAACGACTGTTTAAGATATTCTTGTAACCTCTATGTTTTAGACAAAAAATAAGATTAGGTATATTGATAGATAACTCCAGTAAAAAAAAAATATTGAAATGTATTTAGTTGAGTTATTGTAAAAAAATTAACAACTAAAAACTTTCTCTCACTGTGACGCGACAGTTTCGTTTTTATTTTTTAAATTGTTAATGTACAACGTGGTACTCGTAGAATACCCGAAAGAAGAAATCTACCTCACATTATATCCCAAAAGTTTACAAAGGGTTTCAGTAAACACCATTTTGGCTACACCAACAAGTAAGGTTAGTTAGTTAAGTAAATTTACCCACACTGGCAGACGTGTTTATTATGGCATTTAATTAGTACTTTACTACGTCTCTTTCTAATATATCCCGCACAGAAACGGAGAAACTTCCCTGGAAATATATCCGCGACACTAACCTTCCTGGGACACAATGATATGAAGAAGTCGAGCAGCCTGTACTCAAAACTCCTTCGCTTTTGATGAGTTTAGGGTTGAACGGGCCAACCCTCAGCTTAATTAGAATGCGCCCTTAACGAATGTTTCTCGCAAACCCGTTAAAATCTTTGAACATTTACATAAACATTATTAATTTACATCTGGACCGTAAAACTGAATTTTAAAACTTTCAGTCGACATTAAACCTCATTCAGTGAAAAGCCAAAGGTTGCGCGTTTGTTGTGTGTACGCCATTATCTTCTCTATTGATCATGGAGGTTCGCTCGTTAAGTCCCTTCAGTCCGGGGTAAAAACTGACGAGAAAATAGTCGTTATTTTGCTGGAAATCGTAGAAATAAGGGAGCAAAGCGAGTATACTGGCTTGGTATAACATTGAGGTTTGTTTTGCATTCCCTGTAGACGCTGTAGGCTGTAGGTATAAAACGATGATAATGAGTGTCGGCATTTAATTTTAATGCTCAAGTAATATTGGATGCTTTAGTGCGGAATTAAAGAAAACGTAAACAAGATACTTGTTTTTAAAACAATGTTATGATTTGATTTTTTGTATTTACGAAGTTCCTGAATTTGATTACACGGGATAAATCTTACCTTTTTTTCTACATAGTTGCCTACTTTCTCGAGCTGCACAAAATGAAAATATATTTGCATATACAGGGTGTTCAGTTTTCCTATATTTTTTATGGCATTATCGAATTCTACGTGAAAAATTAACGGGACTTTGTGTTATGGTTAAAATATTGATAGTTTTCGAGATAATCGAGTTTTCATTTTTTTTATGCTTCGTCACTTCTCAAAATGTTATCGGCGTTCAAAATTTCCAATTATTTTTTTTTTTAATAACTTCATTATTGTTTGACCGACTGGAGCGAAATTAGATGTAGTTATTATTGATGTAGAATAAAAAGTAGATGGAGCCACTTTAACGTACAGCATACATAACTATTTTTCCCCATTTTTAAACAAAAAACAAATGCACAAATTAAAATTATACAAAAAAGGTAAACCTGTGAAGCCTCAGGAAAATGCTCAATTAAGAAATGGTTAAATTGTATCACCTTCCAAAATATACGAGGTATGTTCAGAAAATAATCGAACATTCTGATTTACATGCTAGTGGAGATATTTACTGCGGTTGGCAGCATTGCGTTGCACATAACCTCCTCTATAACCACCCCTAGCTCAATATTTAGCTCCGACTTTTGGTAAAACTAGGTTGCTAATAAGATCTTTTAACTAATGATTAAACATTTGCGGATATTTCTTTTCATCCAACGGTATATAGTCATCTTCTTTCATCATTTCAATGTCATTGTCTGCCTCTTCGTATTCCTTCTCATTTCTAGATTCATGTTCAGCGGGTGGAAAACATAACATCAGGGGCTCATCAAAAGAGCTGACCATTTTTTTTTTGTTTTGTGTACCTGTGTGATTATTGTTGTGCGTGATTATTGTTGTTTTAATTATTTAACACAAAATAAACAAGTGGACAACTTTATTCAAAGAAAAAATAATTAGAAAACTTTTAAAATTCAAAAATGTTGTAATAAACAGGATATTTTCTCCAGTCCTTCACAAACTGAATATTCCTTGCATTTATATTCATTAGGTAATAGCTGAAATGAAGAGACACGAATCCTTCTCAAAAGGTTTATAACGCTATCGAGGGTCCTGCCCATTAATTAACTGATTTGGGAAGCAAAAAGACGGAACTTCAAAAAACAAACATGGGTGGAGATAAATCAGATTTATCACAATAACCGCGACTGGTATGTTAAACATCTTTTAAGAACTGCTTTTGACTGCGGGGTGTATCTTTGTGGTCATAAATCTCTTTATTGCAGTTAATCTTCGTATACGTATCTAATTTCACCACAACTAAACCACCCTAAATCTCGTAAATTACGCTCAGTTGTCACCCAGCAGAGCAACTCAATGGAAAGTTTTTGTCGGACACGAAGTTTTTCAATCCAATGTTTCATAACATCAAATTTTTTGCTTTGGCGGTTTTATTTAAAGCCAACAAAAAAAGTTAAATTGTAGGAGATTCGTTACAAGAAAGAAATGAAGTCGTAAAAGAATTACTACTATTCCTTATTATTAAGTATGTATGTAACAACAAAAAAATTGGTTCATTTTAATAAAAATAAAAT